TCAGCGTAAACAAGAGTAAACCCCCATCCTTGAACATGCACGCATGTATGTGCACAGACACACACACACACACACACACACANAGTCTCCTCCTTTTACTCTCAGCGTAAGCAAGAGTAAACCCCCATCCTTGAACATGCACGCATGTATGTGCACACACACACACACACACACACGTACCACCTGACCCAACCTGTGCAGGAGGAACAAGGCTGAAGGTGAGTGAAATAATGGGGTTTGGCCTCATAGCTGAACTTCTCATCCAAGTAGAACATAGACTTGACTAGAGGCATGTCCCAGTCAGAAAACCATTGGAAAGAGATTACACATCTTGTATCTGGTGTGCATACAAGAGAAGATGTTGGTGGATCTTGTTCCCAGAGTGCCTGTGGCTGACATCCTAAAAATAAATAGAAACAAGGTGATTCACCTGCCATTCTGGACCATGACCCCAAAAGACCTGCAGGCCAGGGTCACAGGCTCAAGACAAGAGGGTTTTTATGGTAACTTCCTGAGAGCAGGATCCGGAGCTCACCCTTGCACTGGCCCACTGCCCAGCTGTCACTCCAGGGTGGAGCCCTGGGCAAGCAACGCACTGGAAAGTCCTTGGCACGCCTTCTCTTCTCAGCTCGTCCCTTGCCAGCTGCGTGAGCTTGGAGAGTTTGTTCCCCTTCTTAGGTTTCAGTTTCCTCCTTGCTAAGTCTCATCTTCCTAATTTCAAAACAGGAATAATAGCCACACCCTCTGGGTCTCCCAGGCATATTTTAAGGAGCCCCTGGGCTCCAGCAAGGTGGGTATGGGATATGTTGTCCCGGGGAGAGGGCATGGGGGTGCACAAAGCTGCATCCGGTCAGGAGGAAGTGACCGGTCCAACAACAGTGGTCCAGGGACAGGAAGTCTGGTTCACTGTTCATGAGCCAAATGGGGCTCGGGCATCTTGAAAGACACTGTGAGAAAACCTCTTACAGGAGAGAATAAAGCCAAGAGTTGAAAGGAGCAAAATCCCACTTGTAGAAGTAAACAATGAAGAACAGAGAGAGAAATGGTAATGGTGAGGGATTGATGCAGAAATCACTAAAAAAAAAAAAATTTTCAGAGAACCAAAGTGAGAAGTCTGTATAAACAGGACCAGGAGAGAAAGACAGAGTAGCAGGCCGTGTACAGACACTCCTGAGGAACGCGGGCGATCAGAAGGTGCTGGGCGCTGGAAGGGGAGGGAGGGACAGACAGACGGGGGGCCCAGAGGGAAAGCATGGACAACGCAGCAGTGTTCAGTCTGTTCCAGGGGCACGGAACGGCTCAGAGAGTGGGGAACAAGCTACGGCGGGAGAATCTGGTGCCCCAGCTAACATCAGAATTCCAGACCCTACCAAGCTATAAAACCAAGGCAGTGTTGCCCTGGCCCGTGTGGCTCAGTTGGTTGGGCAGCATCCAGTACACCAAAGGGTCGCTGGTTCGATTCCTGGTCCAAGCACATGCCCAGGTTGTGGGTTCGTTTTCTCTCTCTCTAAAATCAATAAAAACATTTTTAAAAAATTTTTTTAAAAAAAGTCACAGTGCCCCCAGGGACTTAGGGTCTGGTTCTCGGGNTTTTAATTTTTTTTTTAAAAAGTCACAGTGCCCCCAGGGACTTAGGGTCTGGTTCTCGGGTTCTCTAAAGGGTCTCAAGACCAAGCCAAACTCAGACGGCTGTCCCAGGNAAAAAATTTTTTTAAAAAAAGTCACAGTGCCCCCAGGGACTTAGGGTCTGGTTCTCGGGTTCTCTAAAGGGTCTCAAGACCAAGCCAAACTCAGACGGCTGTCCCAGGAAAAGGAGGGGGTCAGCCAAGGAGACGAGAGTGCATTGAAGAAGGACAGTGGGCAGCTCTGACAAGCGGGGCCCACAGCTGGGGCTGAATCCCACCGCAAGTAGCATCGAGACTTCTGTGCCAAGGCTGGCATGGGGGGGGCACACCAGCAGACAAGGCTGGGGGCCATGCTGGATGGCAGCGAACCATTCGGCCCCCGAAAGAGAAATCATCGAGGACACAGTGGAGGAGTCACCACAGTCGGGTCCACAGTAAGCTTTGGACCACACAGTGGGCCCGGAGAGATGTCGGTGGGAACTTTGGAGGCAAAGAAATGCCAAACAACTGGGGGAGTGACAAGAAAGGACCTGGAGAGGAGCGTGCACAGAGAGTGCTGAGGCTCAGAGACCAGCCTTTGGAAACTGCATGCAGTCGACCGAGTGTCACCCTTGGCAGGAATGGACCAGCGGGGCAAACACGGAAGGTCCTTTGATTACTTGCTGCCAGAAGGAGAAACACCATCAGTGGGGGTGAGGTCCTTCAGAGTGGACATGCCTACATTTTTTGAGCTCCTACTGGGTGTAAGGCAGTGGCCTTGGCATATCGCATACTTCAGCTCCCACAGTTCGCACACACACTTTGACCAGAGCATTGAGATTTAAGCAATTTGCCCAAAGCCACACAGCTAGTAAGTGAAAGGGCTGGGATTGGGTCCCACTCAGCTGGACTCCCGTTTCTCCCATCCCACTGGAAAGGGAAGGAAGGGAGGACTCTGAGAAAAGGTTCTCTGGAAGGGAATGGGGCACTGAGTCATGTGCCCTGGGCGGGGTGACGGGCTTCTCTTCCATTCCCCTTCAGCCCCATGCTTACTTCTGCTTTTGCATTGTATTAAAATTATTTGTTTACAAATCTGTCTCTTTCCTTAGACCACTGAGCAGTTCTCATGCCCTGGCCGAACGGAAGAATCTCTTTTAAAAAATAGCAATGTCTGAGTCCCACTCAAGACCAAATAAATCAGAATCTCCAAGACTAGGACTTGCCATTCTTTTTTTTTTTTTTTTTAACTCTTCAGATGATTCAGATGTGCCATCAGGTTTGAGACCCACTGGTGCAGGCCGGGGGCACTTCAAGGTCCAGGACCAGGCCACAAGTGTTTGAATCCCCAGAGACCAGCAGAGTCTGGTTCTTAGTAGGTGCTTGACACACGTTTCATGAGAGGATGGGCACAGTAGCAGAAAATGGAGATCAGGGTACAGAAAGGAAAATCAGTTAAGTATTATGCAGAAGGCGGCAGGGGGAGTGATTTGAGACTGAGAAGCAGAAGAGAATCTTTAAGAAGCCAGGGGCAAAGGAAGGACCTGGAGGAAGCTGCGCGTGGTGAGGTTGGCTTGCATAACAAATCTTCAGTTCAAGCTCATTTGAAGCTTCGATGCAGAATAAATAGCATCTGCCTCGGAGAGAAATGAGGTGAGGAGGAGCCAGGAGTTCCTGACTGTGTCGGAACAATGGGCTTTGAGGGCCAAGACCCTAGGGCAAGTGGCAAAAAAAAAAAAAGAAAGAAAAAAGAAGCGAATGACCAGAACTGTGAATCACTGAAAGGTGTGGAAAAAATCTGACAAGGAAGATAAAACTCATGATTTAAAACTAAAATGGGAAAACAAGAGAAAGCAGGCTGAGGTGAGAGCAGAGTGAATTCCCGTCACCCATATGCATGTTTGCTCAAAAGGCTATTGTTTCGGCAGTGGAAAAAGGGTTAGCGGTAAATAAAATATACAAATGCATTTAATAATGAGAAACTGTGGTGAACACTAAGGTGATCATTGTGAAAATTCTCTGAAAAAAAATAGAAAATGTTCTAGAGATGCAAGGTGGTATGAGTCCCGTTCTATGGCAGCTGCTGCTGTGTGAGCTAAGAAAATTTGCTCTCCAAGTGTTGTTCATCGGGCCAAAGGAGCCTTAGTTCAGCTTCAAAGGGCTCTCAGAAGGCCGTCTCTCCAGGGCAGGGGCCTGGAGGAGATCAGTGCTTGCCTGGTATATACACTAGCTTCCCTGGAGCCATCTCAAGTTGGAAGAATTAGGTTTAAGTCTCTGGCCCCATGGGAAGATGCTGAACCAACTGAGACACACCAGCCAGGGCATGACTTACAATTTTATATGTATTTAAGCAGTCATTTGCTTAATATCTGTCTTCCCTCACTAGTCTAGTATCCCCTGAGAGCAGAAATTGTGTGGTTTATCTCTGCCCCAGATCCCCAGCACTTGAACAAGGCTTGGCACATAGCAGGTGTCCGATGGAATTTGCAGAAGGAAGGGAAGCGGGCAGGCGAGGAAGGAGGTGTCTGGGGGTAGCAGAGTCAGGGTCCCAGTCCGGGCCTGTCTCCCTCCAAAGCCCAGGTTCCTGGCACCAAGAAATCGAGGGGAAGAAAGGATAAGACATTATCTCCCCACCATCGGGTCCAGATGAAGACAGGCTCTTCCCTAAGAGCGGGCAGACCAGCGCCATTGTCAATGAAATTTGGTCCCCCTTTCTTAGTTACTTTTGTCTGCCAGACTATGTCTCCTTGAATGAAAATCCCAGTTTTGGGGACCCTTTTTTTCTGCCAAGGTCCATTTGGATATTTATAACGTCATTCGTGAGCCATACAAAATTATCAACTTAAAAACTAGCTATGAAAAAAGTTCCTAGATTTATTGGATTTCTAATCCCGCCTGCGCTTGCCTTGGCGGGGCCAGACCAGATGATTTCAAGGTCCGTGTATGGCCCACAGGCACCAATAACCTGGGTTGTATCTTCAATGGCTCACCATTGCTCTCAGAATAAAGTCCTTAACATGATTTATGGGCCCCCCTTGGCTTTCCCTGACCCTTCCCAATCCCCTCACCCATCACTGTTTCTTCCCATCTAAGATTCTAACCAAACCTGCTATGTTCCTTCATATCTTACCCTGGGACAGGTAGCTTCCTCCCCCCCACTCCCACCCACTCTACCTGACCACCTCCTGCTGGTCCTTCCCGACTCTCCCTGCCTCTCCTCGTCTCCCTCAGCCATCTCTTTGATCCCTGACTGTTCCCACCCCTATCCTTGGGCTGGGTTTGGGCTGGGTAAAGGAAAGTTTGATTTCTTCTGCTCTGGTTGTTTTGGTGGTTTTTTTTCTGCCACTACATCTAACCCGTGAACATTATTATTAATCATCCACCCACGGCACTCCACTGCTCCAAACATTTCAATGATATTTATTTGATCTCTGGATGAGAGAGGATTTTCTAATCATAAAAGCAACGGAAGACATCACCAAGGGAAAGAAAATCAATACATTTGACTGCACCAAAATAAAAACTGCTGGCCGTCAGAAACATCCTAAACAAAACTAAAACGCAAATAACAAGGCTGGGGAAAATATGTGCCATAGATATGACAAATGGGTTGCTATCTGTAATATATGAAGAGCTCATATAGATCGACAAGAAACATATTACAGTCCCAGTAGAAAAAATGGGCAAAGGACATGAATAAGTACATAGAGCTAATAAACACATGAGAAATGTTTAACTTCGCCAGTAGTCAGGTTAATGCAAATTAACATAATGCCAAGTCATTGTGCACCTATCCAATTAGGATAACATTAAAGACTGGTGAGGGTGCAGAAGATTATTTGATAGTTTTCCAAGAGAAAATAAGAGCTTTTTCAACTTTTAATAGCTCCCTACCACCTGGAGGAAAAGTCCTGGGTCTAGTCCCCACCGTCCTCTCCCACCACTTCACCTCCCACCTGACATGTGCCCAGTGTGGAAGGTCACACTGCACAGTTGCCCTTCCTGGGTCCCCTGTCCCCTTCCTACCTAACACTTACGCCTCCTGGACAGTTCTGAGGCATCCGGCTTTCTGGAAACTCTCCTGAGCAGGGTTTGGTGCCCCTGCTCTGTGATCTCGTTACCCACGCATTCCCTTACTTAGCACTTACTGTATTGTATCGCAAATCACTCTTTATGGGTTTCTTTCCACCTTAGGTTATATGTGTCTCAAGAGAGGCATTATATTTTTATTCATGCCAATATACTCCAGGGTTAGTCCAATGTGGATGCTCCACAGATGACTCAGACTAATCAATCATGTAATAAATTAATTATTCCATTTTGCACCATAAATTTTTGTGACTATTCCCGTAAACGCACGTTTTACTTAAAACGGAACAAATTAAAGTCATTTTGGATGGAGAGAGAATACCTCACCCATGCCCCAGCCCTCATTTTACTGCCCATGTTCCATCACCCTATGTGTTGTAACTGACTATTGGCCATGAAATTAACTTATTGGTCAGAACCATCTTTTTTTTTTTTAAATGAAACATAGTAGAACCAGAAGGAATGGACTGACTCTAACTGCTGTTTCCTTCCCCTCACTGTAGATTTCCCCCCCCACCGCCCCCTGGCGGGCAGGAGTGGTGGGGATGAACACAAGCTGGGGAGCTGAAATTCCCGTTCTGATTCTTCAAGACTCCAGAAGTCATTGATCTCTCTAGGCTTTGGTTCCCTTGCCTGTAAAATGAGAATGGTGAAAATTCAGAAAGAATGAAACAGAAAGGACCCAGATATACCTCAAATCCTCAAAGCTCTGCTCATGAGCATTTCTGATACAGAAACTGTTACCTACCAGAGGCAGACCCAGCTCAACCACGTGATTTCACCCCAGCACTTTGTCTGGATGCCTAGCTCCTTGATTCCTCCCTTCCCACCCAGTTGCCCACCCTGACTTTACACCATGACTGAGTCACGAGCCTCTCAGGCTCAGGGAGGAAAAGTACTCGGTGGCATTGGGCAAATTTATGGATCCTGGAGCCTAACATCATAGCGTATGAAGTAAATGAGTCTCTTTCTAAATTGCAATTCTAGCCAAGTCATTCCCCTGGTTAACACCTTTCTATGGTCCCCATTATGCTCAGGATAAAGCATCAACTCCCTAATAGAACCTATAATATCCTCCATGATCTGATGCCCTGCCAACCTTTGCGTCCCACATTCCGGCCCTCCCCAATCACCTGCATTTCTCAAATGAGCCATTTGCTCTTGTCCTTGGACCTTTCCCACGTGGTCTGGGAAACCTCAGAAACCTCTCCGACCCTCTGTCAGCCTCAACTCAAGCATCAGCTCCTTCCAGGTGTCTCCCCGGACTTTCTGGACACAACCATCCCCCCATCCTCACCTCACCCTTCCTGCCCTCATCACAGCCCCCTGCTGTGCATCCCTCGCTCACTACACTGACCACAGCTGTGGTCCAACCAGCTGCTCACCTGTCTCTTTTCCTTCTTAGGGACAGGGCCTACACCCTCTGTCCTCTACCCCCACCCTCTGTCCTCTACCCCCGGCACCTAGCACACCACTTCCCCCAGAGTGAGCAAACAGTACGCAACTGTGGGAGGGAGGGGTGGACGGGGGAGGATTTGCTAAGGGAGGGAGAGGATTGAGGGAGGGAAGGAGGAAATAGATGGGAATTCGTCATCTGACATCTTCCCAAAATGTTTAAGGTCATAAAACAACTCAGGGGCTTTGAACTGTAAGTCATTTTCTAAAGATCAGACTCGTGGGCACAGAGTCTCTGCGGAGGAGCTCCTGGAGCGAGGCAGGTCAGGGTACGCGCCAGGGTGAGCTGAATGCCAGGGGCATGTGCTGTGTCTGGGAGATTTCACAAGCTGGAGGAGGCTCCCGGGGCCCTGCTCTGCAGGAATGCGAACTTGAGCAATCAACCCTGGGAGCCCTGATAAGAGGCTAAGAGCTTTGATTGTCTCCATCCTGAACGTACTTGGGGTGGGGCAGGGACACGCTGGACCACTCTTACTGAGGTGACTGCAGATTTTTGGTTACTCAGCTGCCAAGCCCCCGCTTGGGCAGAGCCACAGTAACTGAGGTGATACGATCTGGGTCAGCTACATCAGGGCACGACGGGAGAGGGGGGTTGGAGAAAGAAGGGTTAATATTGGTTAATCAGTACCAGGCACACAATTGGGCATTTCACATATGCCATTTCATTTGAGTCACATACCAACCCAATGAGGCAGTAGCCTTGATTTTCCGGGTGAGAGAGCCAAGGACCAGAGAGGTTAAGTAGTTTGTTCAAGCTCACACAGTAAATGACTGAGCCCAAATTTGAACCTAATTCTGTCTGACTTCAAAGATTTCACTCTTCTCACACTCAATTCCTATCCTTCTTCATTCAGAATTTGAGTCTGACGCTCCTACTCCAGGGTAGGAGGAGGTGGGGGGCATGGAAGGAAAGATCTACCACCATGCACACAGGCACTAATGAACTAGGGACTTGGGATGTGTCTGTCCTCTGGGAAACTTCCCGGCTAGATCCCAGGTGCTCACCAACCAGCCCCTCCCAGGGGAAGAGGTAACTTCAGCCAACTCCCAAAGGGCAAAGATGGTGCTTCCACCTCAGCCATCAGCCACTAACACCAACCTGATCTAGAGACTTCTAATTTGCCCTGCATTAGAGACGAAAGAAAAACAGAGCAGCGAGAGCGCAGGTCCTGCCACTTAGCAGACACCGTCTTCAGCAACCTCTCCTCATAACTGAGGGCAGCAGCTGGGCTTGGGGAAGCAGGTGTGCCAGGACTTGTCAGGGCTCAGAGAAGGTGACAGTGGGGGTGACCTCAGGGGAAACGCCTCTACCTCCAACCCCACACCTGGTGGATGGTATTTAAGAGGCCAATTCAGGGTCACTTCTCTTTGGCGTAGGGCTCTGGTCCAGGTTAAGTGCGGGGGACATTTACAACAGTGGCAGCCAGCACAACCCTAGCATGGATGAGTTGCCAGTCTGGTTATGAAAGCAGGTTTGGGAAGGAAAAAAAAGACAAAACCAGGAGGACTATGGAGGCCTATTTATGGAGGCCACATATAGAAAAGTCAAAGTGGCTTTCTGGACATTTCCCGCTTGTAGCTCACCAGCAGGATGGGAACGTTAACTACCTCGCACGTAGTCAGAGCTGATGGCAGTGGCCAATCCAATAAGGGGTCCCCTGTGACCAAGAATCCATCCTTCAGCCCTGGCAGGTGTGGATAGAAAGTCATTGGTTTGATTCCTGGTCAAAGGCACATACCAGGCTGCAGGTTTGATCCCAGGCCGTGGTCAGGGCACGTGCAGGAGACAACCAATCGATGTTTCTCTCACATCAGTGTTTCTCTCTCTCCCCCACCACCCTTCACTCTGAAAATCAATGGAAAATACATCCTCGGTGAAGATTAACAAACAAAAAAGAATCCATTCTTCAGTCCCTGAGAGCCGAGCTCCAGCTTCCTTCCCCTGACTCCATCTCCCCAGGTGGGAGCTGGTGCACGGTCCTGGTGAGAAGCACCCTGCTCTCCAGGAGAGAATGAAACATGCCCAATGGCATATCTCAAGGACAAGCAAGGCCCGAATCTTGGACTCAGGAATACGGGTTCCTGGTTCTCCAGAATCAGGCTGAGGGACTTGCTAAGTTAGGGCAGAGAAATTGAAATGAGAATCGATATGGAGCTCCAAACATGCTTAACAGCATCAGGCATGAACCAAGGCAGGGCCCCCTCCCGAGAGTCAGGCTGGCTCTGAGAACCTGTGAGAAGCTAAGTACTGAAGGCACTCCCACACTTACGATGGAAAGGATGCAACCTGGCCGTGTGTCTGGGTTATGCAGCTGTGACTCTGGGTCTCACAAAGGTCTCAGGTCATCAAGATGACCCTCACCTACAAAACGCACCGATGTCCAAAGAACTCGGAGCACATCCTTCATGGGCAGGCGTCACTGCTAATGCAGACCTACTTTATGGTGGTATCGTCACCTCTGCCTGAACTCAGGGATGTTTAAATATTTCACTCTGAGTCATACACACAAGGCATTCTGAGGATTCCTGGGCTCCTTCCACCCTCAGTGCTCAGACAAATATGTCCCAGAAGCATTGGGATTTGACTCAATAACCACACACTGGAGAGAAAACTAAGTATACATTTACTACCCGCCTAGTGGCCGCTAGGTAAAATTGCAGGCATAGTGACAAAAATAATCAGTTCCGAGGCGTTCGCCTTCAAACTCACAGCTGGGGACTGGGAGGAGGGGCTCCGATGCCTCGGGGACCGGGAACGTAACACCAATCAATGGAACAGGCCAGGTGAGAGAGTACAAGTCTTGTCAAAAGAGGCAACTCCTACTCAGTTCCAGTCGATTGTCCCCTTTTGAAAACACAGGTCAGAGTTGCCTCACCTGCTGATTGCTTAAGAGAAGTCGGAAATGCCGACTGTGATGTGAAACCCCCCGATTCTCAGGTGGTGGCTCAATTTTCCTGAAAGCACCAGGTGAGGCAAATAAAGGTGACAGCACACCAGTGTCCACAGGTCTGCCGGGCAGATGGTGAATGGCACCTCCCCCAAGTGTGGTATTAGACTGCCACTCGCCAGCCACCACTGGCAATTGCAATGGAACTCACAGGGGCTCTCCTGCTTTCCTACGCACACAGCTGGACCCCCCCGCCGTGCAGAACTAACTACAGAAAGAGTGGAAGGCTCAGCTGGGCAGCCCACAGGCAGCAGCAGGCCAGCAGGCACTAGATGGCAGACTGCTCCTGCAGGAAGCCTTCCGGGCCTGGGAGACCTTTCTCTGGCTCAGAAGCCAGGGCTGCTTCTCGAAGGACTTCCAAGTGCTCCTCAGCAGCTGACAGCGACTGGTCAACCCAATCCAGGCCCCCAGTCAGGTGGCAGGCATTCCTGGTCACCAGCACCAGATGACTGACAGACAGAAGCAGGGCGGTTGTCCTAGAAAACACAACAGGATCAGGTCCCCTAGGAGACAAGGGACTTTGTGCCAAAGCCCAAATGGTCTAAAGTCTGTTCCCCAAACTGAAGCCCCTTCCCTAGGAGGTTGGTGAGCATGCCATTTAAAGATGGTCCCATGCTCAAACAGATTTGGGAATTGCTAATTCAAACACGGTTAACTCAAGCCCTTCTCAGGGCCTTTAATGTGCATGATAAAGCTTTACAGGGAAACTATGATATGCTGTCTCATTAGCTTATTTAAGGCTGTGGAGCCCACTCTCTGTGGCACCGCACCTACTAACAGACTCCAGAAGAGAGTTTTACAGGACAATTTGGATTTAGTCAATTGGACGAGCACATCACCAACTGCTACCCACATAAAGGTAGGATATACATATCCCCACCTTGAGCATCCCTTATTGATTCTGAATCAATAGGCCCAGGGTTGGTTTACCCTACACTAAAAATAAAATTAAAAATTATAGAAAACCCAATTAGGAGAGTTTTTTTTTTTAAATTAGTTTTGGGAAGCAACCAATCGATGTCTCTCTCCCTCTCTCTCTCTGTCCCTTCCATTCTCCCTGAAAAGCAACGGAAAAAGTATCCTCAAGTGAGGATTTAAAAAAAGAAGAAAAATCAGTATTGAGCCCAGCCGGCTTAGCTCAGTGACTGGGCATCGACCTATGAACCAGGAGGTCACGGTTCGATTCCCGGTCAGAGCACCTGCCCAGGTTGCAGGCTCGATCCCCAGTAGGGGGCCTGCAGGAGGCAGCCAATCAATGATTCTCATCATTGATGTTTCTCTCTCTCTCTCTCTCTCTCCCCCCCCCCCTTTCTCTCTCTGAAATCAATAAAAACTTATTTAGAAAAAAATGTTTTAATTTTTTAAAAATCAGTATTGGAAGGTTTACTATAGAGTATCTTTTACGCAAGGAGTGTGCAGAATACATCTGGGGATGTATTATGACTACAGCCTAGACACAGCTGTGGGGCAACAGGAGAGGGGCAGGAAACCAGCCCAACCGCCGTGACCCGCTGCCCAGCTGGCAGGCATCACGCAGGGGTCTGTGAAATAGTCATGTGAATCCAAGACAAAAAGAATCTGGTTTTAAAAATGGGTTTACATCTGGTACAGGAAGACAACGATTTGAAAAGGCTACATATGTTCTGTGTATTAGAGGAGAATCCCAAGAGAGAGGTTCCTGGGTATGTCCTGGGGAAGGTGAGCACTGCCCTGCTCACCGCCCGCCCCACTGACCCAGCGGCCTGCACTCACAGCTAAGGTGAGGGGTCCACAGAGCAGAGAGGTTAGGGTGATGGGGAAATGGGAGGGAGGGAAGGCACCGATGGGACTTAGTGGGGCCAGATGTGTAATCATAAAAATTCACAAGCTAAACTGGCTCTTCCTTCCCCAGGGTTTCAGGAAGAGGACCGGCCTCTGTCCCCGAGCCAGGCGTGGCTCACTGGCCGGATGACCATTCATGCTGCACTGAATGATACCCAAGGCCCAGGACAGCCCAGGAATCCAGCAAAACGGCCTTCNAAGCCAGGCGTGGCTCACTGGCCGGCTGACCATTCACGCTGCGCTGAATGATACCCAAGGCCCAGGACAGCCCAGGAATCCAGCAAAACGGCCTTCTCCCCAACAACCCAAACAGCCGACCTCCCAGATCTGAGCCCCCAGGTGAGCCTACAGCATGGACGGAAGAATGACACCTCACCGTGCATCCAGGAGTTTCGGGTCCAGCGGAGGGTACATCGATTTCACAACATCGTCCACTCTGAGGGGAGGCAAAGGGCTTTCAGTATCTCACTCTCCTGCTCTCCTTTCCTCCCTCCCTCCTGTCTACCTCCTTCAGCCCAGTCCTCTTGATATTCGGGCCCTTGTCCTCAGTGGTCCTTTCGCTAACAGCTTTTGCATTGTCCCAGAGACGTGGGAAGACTTGTTCAGTTTAGAGAGTATTTTGTTTTCTGGTTTGGTTTTAGTTCCAATGGTTTGAAAAGTTCATGGTCAAACATCTGGGATGCTCAAGATACGCTACTAAATTAAAAAGACAAACTGCCCAACAATATAAAAAGTTTGATCCCTTCAGAGTAAAAATAAACAAGACATGAAATTCAGAGAAGAGAAGTCTGGAGGGAAACTCACTATTCAATGGCGGTTACCTCCAGGAATTGGGAGCAGGTAGAATTAGAGAATACTTCACTTTCCTGATTTCCGCAACATTTTTATTTTTACAGGTATTTATTATTTTTGTTTTTTAAAAAAAAAACAAGGTTAAAGGTTATATAGAACATACACACCAAAAAAAACCTACGAGTTTAATTTGGGTGCAAACTGCTCTATTGTATTTCTTTTAACACATAGTATAGCTTGTGGTTAATTTTTTTTTTCAATCTAGTTCAGAAAAAAAAAAAAAAACACTCTATTCATTCTGATTTGCATGGTACATGGTCTTGCTCCAAATTTTTGCTCTTGGTTCACGTGATAATCAGGAGGAAAAAATAACAATGCATTATTTGATTTCTAAACACACTTGAAAATAGATGTCCTTAAATGTTCTCGTCTTAGGGCTGAGGGACGGGTGAGAAAATGCAGAGGCCCGGTCACTCTCAGCCTCTGCTGGGCAGGCCCGTCTCCACAGCGCCCTGGAACTGGAGCCTCCCTCCTTGAAACTAATGCGCTACCAATACACCACGTGGAATAAACAAAGCAAGAAAAACAATGGGACAGAACCGAGCAGAAGGAGAATGAAGGACGCAGATTGAATTATGGAGGAACATTCTGGACGTAGTCCGAGGTGCTCTGCAGGATGGGCCAGTGGGCACCAGGTCAAGTCCGCCCTCCGAGCAATGCCACACCCAGACGCGAGCACTACTGCTAACCCCGATCACCCGGCACTTCATTCGCCTGCAGAAATCTCCATCTCTTTCCTCCTCCGACCGACCCCTCCCGGCAATGCTGCCTTATAAACCTAGTATCACGTGACTCCGTCTGGCCCCTGGGGTGACCTCAGGACTGACAGACAGGAGGCATGATGAAGGCCCAGCGAGCACGAGCAATGCAGGGTCTCTACCGGTAATAAGTAGGCAGAGGATGTGCTTGACCAGAGCCTGGGTTGGAGGGTCCTTCCAGCCAGGGGCCAACCGAGGCTGACAGAAGTCACAGAACCACACCCACCCAGGGAGAACTCTGCCCAAAGCCAAGAACTGTTCTGGGCTGAGTCCCTCCTACTTTCTCAACTCCCTGAACTCCCTGGACAGAATTCAAGTGCACCAACGCGTTTGTATTCCCTCAAAGGGCCGGTTCCTCGGGATCTGCCCCAAGGCCATGGCAACCAGGAAAGCAAGGGCCCCTGGAACTCAGGGGGTGCCACCCCTCCCACCAGGGATGTGGCTGATGAAGAAAACATCCTGGACAGGGACAACAGCCCACTCGGGCACATCCGCATACCAGTCACCAGGTGGCAGCGCAAACTCAGCTCAGCCCTTCTAAGAGAAGGGCTTTATTTTTCTTCACCAAATTGAGCACGCAGGAGGGGGCGTAGCTGCGGCTGACTGCAATCTGCTGGTTGCCTCCCACATGGGATTTTGCAGATGCCTGGAATTTGGGACAGCTGAGTGATGTACGGCTTCAGCTCCCACCCAGTCCCGGAGGCTGCTGGATGGGCCATGGATGGCGCAGCGGGTACCAGTCACCCCCAAATTAAGTCTCCAATCCAGATACGGGTGGGAGACAGGACATGACCAGGAGGTCTCTGCAGAGGGGGGTGTGGGCCCCTGTGGGAAATGTGCTTACTGACCTGAAGCCTGGGAGGAAGGAGTGGCAAAGGGGAGGAAAGCAGCCCCAGCGGGTATGGGACTGAGAAGGAGGGAGCGGGCGCAGTGGGACGCGTGGAATAGAAGAGCCAGCACTCGTCATATGCTGGAATTTCCCAAAAGGTCTACTGGATGTTGGGGGAAAGGTGTGAGAATATCTTAGCTGGAAAATCTCTCCTGGCCCAAACCCTTCAGTTCATGAATAACTGGAGTGGCCGGTGTAGTTTCCTAAGAGCCTGGCCCTGCCTGTAACCTCAGCTTCCGGCCCTCCCTTCCCTCACGGCATGCGGGGACCTCAAGGCCCTGGCTGCTCACCTGGGACTGATCCGCTTGGCCACCACGATGATGTCGCTGACACTGGCTGACGTCTTCATCTTGGCCCCAGAGCCCATTGTCATGGCAACAAGTTTTTCAGTCAGTGTGTGACAGATCTAAGGCAGCAAGGAAGACAGAGGTGACGAGGGGTGACCCAAAGCCAAATATGACCCCCACCTTGGGTCCCTTCTCATAGCTGGACCCCCTAATCCACAGGGTCAAATTAAAGCGAAAAGAACACAGAAATGAGAAGCAATGGGGCGGAAGAGGCCAACGACGCTGAGAACACTGCTGGGTGAGCAGGGAGGGGTAGGAACCTCGGGTCAGGGCCAGGGTTTCAGCTTAGAGAAGTCTAAGCTGAAATAATCTAAGAAAAATCATGTGCTCTAGTTTCCCCATCTTGCTGAAGGGGAAAACCCTACTTTCCCTTCCTCTCCAACAGGGAGCCCTCAGAAACCTGGCTAGAGGACAGCTGCTCCCTTTAAGCACATCCTCCGAAAGTGCCGCTTATTTCAACCATTTTCCCAGGTAATATACCAGCATGTTTGTCCAGTGATGATGCAGGGGCCTTGGAAAAACACAGGAAACAGGTATGACTAAGACACGGGCCTTTCCCATCACCCACCAACACTGCTGGGCACCCGCAAAGCTGTACTCCCCCCTCCACACCTCTCCAATGTTAGAACCTGGATGTGCCTCTGTCCTGGCAAAGAAGTTCCATCACCTGCCTTATACTTGGGGCTGCAAAAGAGGGGGCAGAGAGCCACTCAAAAGCCCACCCAGGAGAGAGCCCAGGAGTCACAGGGACTCAAAGGCAGCCGGGCAAAACAAAAGGACCTGGAGATCTCCACAGGAAGGCAAGAGCCTCTCCTTTGACCTGAGGTCCCAGGATGGACCACTGATTCCAACCCAGTAAGACTCCTTCCAGCTGATTCATCCCCCACCTCAGGTGCCACTATCCTGCTCCTCCAGTAGGCAAGGGAAGGGGCCAAACCCAGTGCCAGAATACACCCTGGCCAGAGGGAGAGAGATGCAATATGCCATTATTGCTCCAGACATTATAACTATCTGTCTACAACCACATCTATCCCCAATTGCTTCTTGGAATTAAATAAAAAGCCTGGACCCTGTGACAGCAATTTCCAACTAGGCATTTCATTGTCCCCCAAGAGAGAGAGCTGAAGAAGAGGTGGGAGGAAAGACGTTTTAATATCTGATACTGAAAGATACTGAAGAAAAGATGAAGTTTTTTTGAGATTTTGAATAATTACTAGACAAATTGATAAATGTATGGTTTCCCAGGTTACTGAAATGAAGAAACTGACAATATTTGCAACTAGCCAAATACTTCCAAATTATTATTATTCTGTTAGGCAGGATAGGATCTGGCAAGAATTGGAAAACAAATGCTGAAACTAAAAAAATTTCCCAAAACTATAAAAATTACCCAAAATGCAAACTGGGTGCAATTTCCCACCCAGCCCTGGAGGCTGCAGACATTAAAAGAAAAAAAAATCTGTCTTCAATTTGAAGTACTCATGGTCTGGATTTTTTAACACTGACTGTCCCATTTGGCTGACTATTGTCACAGCCAAAGAGGGCCAGTGACGGACTTTCTAGTAATTGGAGAAGTCCAGATATAGAATCCACTCACTGTAGAGAGCTGGGCTCTCTGTTAACTAAAGGATGCGCCCAAGGGGAAGGTGGGAAGCCCAGGTTCACCTTCAGCAGCAACACAGTCTTGGGCACACAGCTGTGTCCACCGTTGGCAAAAATGTGGCTGGTGACCACGCATGTGGCCTTTCCCACAGGTCACTGTGTTATAGGGACCAGCCAAAACAAGGCCTTTGCTAGGGCCTCGAGGATTCTGAAATATAACAAACCATCCATGTAGGAGTGGAGGTAAACTACAGAAACTCCAAGTTCACACAGGTTACAAAGGCCTCTTCTGCAAGGGTTCCATGCCCTTCCTAAGGCCCCTTTCAACTCTAACCAGCTGTGCACAGGGATGCTCTGGCGACCACCCCCTTTACCTCTTGGGGCGATCAAAGAGTATTACCTTCAAGATGGCAATGCAGTGGGACATGAGACCCCTGTGGAGACAAGAAGAACAGGTCAGTGCTTCTCGTTAGAGGCCCACGTCCCCCCAGCCACCACGGCTGCTCCTCCCAGCTCTGACACACCTGGGCACGACCTGAGAGCAGCAATGCCTCCCTCCGTGTGAAAATGAACTAGTCCATGAGCTAATGAGGAAGCACCTTCTGTCCTTAACCTTGTCCTCCCCACCCCTTCCGACTCTCCACTGGCACTATTCCCTACCGATCGAGCCATGCTCTGAGCTTCTCATGCCATTCCTTCCCCCTGGCATACCCTTCCTTCTATGCTCAGCCTGGTGAGCTCATCTTTCAAGACACAAATCACAAGGCACCTGCTCTGTGATATCCTTCATGAAATCCACCCCCACCTCCCCACCCCAGGCAACTCCAGACATCGCCTCCACCGTGTGCCCACTGCTCCAGGGGCCCTTGCTTTCTGAGATACTGTCCCCACCACCAGTTTAATATCTGCACACACTGCCTCACAGATATCTGCCCGGCGAATGAATGACTAAATGACGGGCGAGTGGAGTAGCTCCTGTCAGGTGGAGAGATCCCTGAGGACGCTAAAGACAAAGGCTCCATCCCTGGAGCCTGACTGTCAGATTCATGGGCACCCTGAGGATAACCAAGCACCTAAGGGTGACTTTATAACCACCTTTGCCATCCATCTACGGACCACAGTGTTCAGGTCTACAACGTGGGACGTGGAGGGTGGAGCCAGGGCCAACGCTGTTATGTCCTATTCTGATTTCCCTCCTCGTGAGGGCAAGGAGAAGAGCAGAAACAGACACAGGGCTCCTGGATGCCCAGTCAAGTGCTCAGGCACAAGAAGCCAGAGAAGGGCACAGGGAGTCCCGCTGGCCATCCCCAGAGGGCTCCAGGAAGGCACCCCATCCCCTAGGCCTTACGAGGCATCCTCGATCCAATCTTCTTTCTCCAGGATGGCCTCAATGTGGGGGTTGGTGATGACAACGTCGTCCAGTTCTAACTCAGAGGGCTCAGACTGGGTCTCCATGGCGCCGATGAGGTCCACGATGGGCCTAGAAGGAAGGGCCCAGGGAAGCGGTCTCAGCATGACAGCTACTGCTGAGACCTCCTCACAGTGGCCCACATACCCCCAAAAGGATGACTGGAGTGAGTAAGTTAGAGCAGGACCACTTGTGCTGGATCCAAACCTAACCCAATGGGACTTCAGTTACGGGCAGGGGACACGGCTAGACAGTCAATCAAGGAGGCAATGAGAAAAAGTGACAGAGAACAAGACGAGCCACCAAGAGCAGGGCTTCAACCACAATAACTACGAAGATGTCTTAGACAGGGCTGCTCTTTCAGGACAAAATAACAACCTTTGGAACTTATTTTCCCTTCAAGCCTACCTTTTCCTGAGATGCTGAAGTTCCTAACACCTAGCCCACCGGCACCCCCAATTTGGTCTGCAGAATCACTCTCGGGAACCACCCTGGTCCACCGCATATCCCCGCCCCCTCCCAGGTATCCTGGAGAAGTACCACCACCTGCTACTTTACAGCAGGATTCTTCAAAACTTGAGACACCAGGGCATTCTTCTCAATAGCAGAGCTTCCCTAGGTCACAGACACGGGCGTTTATGAAATTATCAACCACTCGACAGAGATGCCGATAGGATGCCGTAGGGGCTAAAGAGAAACTAAGGGGCCGTGACCGTGGCCCCTTAAAGATCAATTAAAACAGCCTTAAATTGAAAATAGGATCTTGTTTACAGAATATACTTCACGTAAGTGCATCATGAAATCTGAGCAGAGACAGACAGTAATGCTGGGACTTCCCAGCACCCAGTGTCTGCTGCTTAGATGGGTGGCTGCAGTGCGGGCTTCGGATTTCTGTGCCTGAGTTTGGTTGGAAAGGGATTTGGCTTGTCCAAATGCTGAGGGAGGTGGCCGTTCGGGGTAGACGGCCATATCTTCATGCTAGGTGAAAACACGTGGAGTCACTTTCTCGTTAGTTCAGTGAAAGTCAGAGGAAGCTCAGGATATTGGGGGGAAGCTTAAGGAACATTATTTATTTTCTTTTTTTTTGGTTAATCCTCACACAGGAATACTTTTTCTGTTGATTTTTGGGGGAGGGAGGAGAGAAACATCGATGTGAGAGAGACACATTGATTGGTGGCCTCCCACGTCGGGCAGCAATCAAGCCTGCAACCCCGGTACATGCCCTTGACCAGGAATTGAACCTGCAAGCCTCTGGTGCCCAGGCGGATGCTCTAACCACTGAACCACACCAGCCAGGGCTTAAGGAACATTCTTAAGCTCTAAGGTCTTTATTGGGAAGGAGAGCCTTCAGGTACCCTTGTAGAGACAAAAAGCTGAGCCAGTTGCCCAGCACCAAATTCTTTTTCTTTCGTTGGAGCCCCCGGGGAACAGCCCCCCCCTCCTTCCCCCGCCAAGCGCACTCACTTGGAATCGTAGCGCTGCAGCAGGTCCCGGGGCCGGCAGTAACGCTGCCTGCAAACCACCACCAAGGCTGCAAACGAGGCCAGGAAGACGGTGGCCAGCACGCCTATGGCAACAATCACCACGGTCTCCATGCTCACGGGGCTCCCTCAGTCCCGGTCACATCCCCGGCACGAGCTAAAGCTTAGAAGACACAAGGCACAGCAGGCCTGGTAAGGAGGCTGCGAAAAAGGGGGGGGGTCGTGGGGTCTTGCCTGCTGGGG